GAGAATCCTTAATTGCGCCGCCACAGTGTCCAACATAGACAAATGTTTATATCTTGGCCCGCTAATGAGAAACCAATAACGGATGCGAAAAGCATTCTAAGCCCCCCCACGGGTATGCATGGACATGACAATGAGAAACAGGCCATATTGGAGAACTTCACCTCATTCATCAATAGTCCTCATGTCCAGTCCTGGAATACTCCACTTAGGCTACCCACTGATGCAGCAATAAATCTGTCCTACAGAATGTGTCTATGTCTCCATCAGATTGATCCTTGGGCGAGGCAGGAGGTCTTCAAACTGCTACAGTCAAACTCTTGACAGCCTTTTAGGGTGCAGAAAAGAGGCAGCATTTACTTTCAAATAAAACCAAACTGGATCAATATCCCAAATGGGGGTGGGGGGGCAGGGGGGGGGACACCATGCAGTGACTTTTTGACTTGAAAACATATAAATTTGTGTCATAGTATTCACTCAAACATTAAAGTTTCTCAACATCTGATACAGGCTGTCAGTACGTCGCAGAGCAAATGTAACAGCAACTCCTTCAAGATGCACTTTTATGTAATGCCCTTGTGAGTTTTTAGCGTCCTCGTATAAAATGGACAAGAAGTTCCAGGGCAAAGAAATGAACAGCATACTACAGAACGCGCAAGAGAATATCTCCTCATCTCATCTGTCCCCCACTGTTCACTGCGGTGGTGGTGGTGGGCCCGTAACAGCGGAGTGTCAGTCCGGCCAGTGAAACGCCACGCTTTTATCTCCCAGTGGCGGAGGAGGAGGAAAATAAGGGTCCTTCAAAGGGCTGAGGTCATTTCCTGTGCCTCATGGCTGCGACAGAAAAAAAAAATAATGTCTTCATTCGGTCGGCCCTGCTTTATTTCAAATGTCGACACCGCCGTTTAAGAGGGCCCTTGTGGGCAAATGAGCACTTTTGTGTCGTCGCAATCTATCCCCTTTTTCCCCACTCCTCTCACCATTTTCAACCCCCCCCCCTCTGCTTCGTCTTTGATGTAAACCTAAAAACATGGTTGTATTTTTTTTTTTTTAAGTATGTGTAAAAGTGCAGGGGCAGTTATACAGATGACAGACCATGAGAGGGAGTAGGTAAAAACAGGCAAAGAGGAGATGTGCAAGGCTGCAGAGGAGCATGAGAGCGACAGTGTGAAATTAAGAGCTGAATGGTTCCTCTCATCCACAGCCCTCTACAGCCCCAAAGCCCTTTCATAACTTCCTGTTTTTCTCTGAACTGGGAAGCATCCAAAGCACATGTGTGTAAGTAGGAATGCACTGTTCACATGCAACTGATATTGTGTGTGCGCAATAAAGTAACGCAGCAGTGAGCGAGTGAGTCAGAACTGGCAAGATAGAGAGGCTGAATGAAGGGCCTGCGTGGTGCGGTGGTGGAGGAGAGCAGCCGGAGCAGGCAGACAGGCTCACATGCTGGGATGTTAGGAGGAAGAGTGATAGATCTATTGCATGGCCACTGTTGCTGCAAGAGCAGAACACACCTCGGGCAGATGGATGGGGAGTGCGTGTGGGGGTACGATTAATCTCTGCGAGTGTGCCCTTTGTGTTGGAGTGCGTGGGAGAGTTGTATTACACGGTCTTGGAGTGTAGTGCTGGAGATGCGGTACTTCAAACGGGGCTTTACAGTACTTCTACGGCTACTGAAGGGCAAACGTAGCAGACGGATGTATGGTAGAGGAAAAGAGGAATGCATGTTCATGTTGGTGCGTGGGCATTTGTCACGGTTTGTTTGTTTGTTTGTGCTCCGGAATACACCTGACCTGTAAGCACAGAAAGCATCGACACTTGTTTTTGTTTTTTTATTTTATTCTGAAACACTCCCACTCCTATGATTCTACCAAACATCTCACCCAGTATCCTTTCTTCCATCTTTATTGTTGTTCGGTTTATTTCTCTTTTATAGCCTCTTTTACTGGCGAAACACAAAGGTTCCACTATAACACAACCTTAAAATGCTCACATAGAGGAAATACGCTTTAGTAGGTACAGCTAATTAGAAAATGCTTCTAATCGTTTGATATTTCAAATGGCAAATCAGCCAATTACATGGCAGCAACTGAAATAATTTACACGCGGTAAAGAAGACTTAATAGAGTTCACACTCAGAATGGGTTAAGGAAGGAGAGTTATGTAACTTTAAAGTAGCATGATTGTTGTTGGCAGACAGGCTGCTCTGACAAGTTCAGAAAGGGCTCATCTACTTGTATTTTCACTCACAACCATCGTTCAGGTTTTACAGAGGATTATATGGAAAAGGTAAAGTATCCAGCTACTACAGCTGTGCGTACAAAACTACCAAGCTGATATAAGAGTTCAGAAGAGAGAAACCAGACTGGTTTGAAGTGGTAGAAAGAAAAAAAAGTAGGTGTACATTTTACGACAAAGGTACGGAGAATACCATCTCCGAACTCACAGCAGGTCAAAATGTTGAAGCGGACCACAAAGCGTGCGACTTATATCAACCAAGAACAGGAGTTAGAGGATACGATTCATACAGTTTAACCAAAATTGGACAATAACGTCTTGAAAACATATTTCTTGAAGTTTCAGCCTTTATACTCAGCTGGTAGGTCAAAAATTTGGCATAAGCAATATGAAAGCATGCATCTTTTCTCCATTTTTTGCGGTTCAGACTTATGTAAGGTGCGGGGGATATTTTACTGAATAAAACAATTTCATAAAAATGTAAGATGTGTGACAAATGCACACATATCTGTGCTCTCTCATTTGCCATATTTATACATATGCATCCAAGTCAAAGTAACAGGAAATAAATATCTCTTTAAGTATTAGCTGCAATACTAATGAAAAAATATTTATTTTTTTATACTTGCAAGTAATAGATGTTGCTTTCATGTTTAGATTAGGTGATGTTTTATATACTTATTTGAAACATCTTAGCTTATATCAAAGAAAAAAAAATGGCATTCTTACTCAAGTTTATCAGACCCTAAAAGTGACAAAATTGTTCACAACATTCTGTGTGCATGGACGACTGTTAAAAAGAGTTAAAAGGTTAGTGTGTGTTCAGCAAAACATACACTGAATACTGAGTTACTAATAATGTGACTAATGAGGTAAGAAATCCTGAGCATCAAGACATAAAAAGAAAAAGTAAAAATTCAGAAAATTGGGGAGAATAGCAAATTTTCCCACAGCAACTACATAAAACGTGTGTTGTGGCTCTGCCAAGACCTGCCCTGGTAGTACTGCCAATGTTGCGTGTAAAAATAAGTACGTAAAATGTTCCTTCTTTAAGAGGAGCTTGTGTGAATTTTTAATTGTAAAGGCAAAACTCATTCACTTGAACTGCAAAAACACACAAGACAGAAGTGACAGAGGAAAGAGATCACACTGTCTGATGGTGGTTAGTTAACACTAAACAGCAGCAGATCAGGATGATCTGAAAATTTACTTTTGTTTCAAAAATATTAACTGAAAAACTTTCCTTCAAACAAGCATTTACTTTGACATTGACATATTTCTGTAAAAGGAAACAATACAAGCAAGTAAGAAATAGACACAAAGATGGAAATGGGAAAAAAAAATACAATGGACATAATTCAGATTGTCCTCCCAGTAGCGCATCTGATCCTAACCGCGACTCACTGCCAAGGACTGCATTGCTAACCGTTTAAATTCTCTTTTGCTACTAGGACAGTTATTTAACTTTGTCTTCTTCCTCCTGACTAAAAAAAAACTTGACCTTGAATGATATTTTTTGGGAAGTTTTCCATTACATGGAATTGTTTTTCAATTTAAGAATTGAGATTTTCCTTTCATGCTTGCCAAATCCTTCATCTCACATTAGTTTTTGTACTCTTCCTACAAGTCTCGTGTCGATCCGCCGCCCTCTTTCCACTCATAAAATATGCTTGCTTATGTTTGCCTCTTGGCATCTCAGTAGTGTTGCATACCAGGAGGGTGAGTTATGGCAACTGTTGTATCCCACACAACAAAGTACTAAACTAGTTTGAATTTCTTTTTTTTTTTTTTTTTGTACTGTGTGCTGTGCATAACTCCGGTTAGGAGGGCACGGAGAGTTGTAAACATTTCATTTCTTCAGTTTTTCGGACGCAGACCTTCAAAGCGGTTTGTCACCTTGTTTTATAGCGCCACACTTTACAATAATCCCCTTCAATCTGAATTCTACACACAGAACTTTCCTGCCAGCAGGCATTCATTGTGTTGTCTTTATTGTCGAGCAGGACCTGTCAAGATAATCAAACTATATTTTATCCACTAAATACCGGAGTTTTGACCCTGTGAATTGCCTGGTGGGATAACGTCAAATGTGCTGTACGGCAAAGAAGACAGCATCACCTTGAAAGGCCATGCTTCAGAGACTGGGAAACCACAAAAAGCAATTAAAAGTATTGACGAAACTTCAATAGCTCTTTAACAGTGCTGCCAGACACCTTAAGGCGAGCGCCGCGCTATTTTTCTTTTCCTCATTCCTTTAATTCCCACTATTTTACAGCTTTTCCGCTTAAATCTTTGCTGATCTTTATCATTAACAAGTGACTGCCTAAAAACATGTAAACTGCATTATCTGCAGCCTTGCACAGCCTATAGCATAGGCACTGAGAAGATGGGGGTGACAGAAATATTAACCGAGGTTTATCTAGTCCCATCCAGCCTGTTAGCGCTCAAATTACTCAAGAAAGTATATCCAGTTATTTTAAAAATGGAAAAGAAAAAAACAAAAAAAAAAACAAAAAAAAAAAACACATGAAATAAAAAAGTACAAATGGAGGGCCTGGGGCCACTGCTGCCTGTGAAGCAGCGTAGCATCAACCAAGATAAGGTGGTTTCCATGAATTCTTCCTGCAGTGGTAAGTCAGCGGCTCCCTAAATCACTGAGTTACAGCTTGCAGACTCCTTGGCTCAATTTCAATCTATACACAGGCACATATTGCTCCCTAAAGACTGATGGCATACTCAATGAAACAAAGAAAATAAGAACTTACCTTTGCACTGGTTAGTGTTCTTATCGAGAATGGCCTTGGTTGACACTATTTTTCCATACCTGTAGAGACAGAGAGAGAGTGGTCAGCTTACTAAACCCCATGACACTGAAATGTTGGAGCAGTTTATTCAGATCATCAACCTGTGGTCACAGTCATGTCTTATTTTTCATATTATCTGCCATTTAAGTGCAACAAGCAATTTTCAGAGCCGTACAAACGTCAAAAGCCATTGGAAAGAGAAATCACTCGAGGTTAATAACATTATGTGTGTGACCGACTTCAAATGACTGAGCAAGCCTCTGACATTTTAGAGAGCCATCGGACAATTTCAAAAGGTCTGACAGAACACAAATGCTGCAAATGGCCTTTTTTTGTGTTTGCATAGTGTATAGAGTAAATTTAATCCCGACTAATGTCCTTTAAATAATAAAGCTGTAAAACACGTCGAGCAACAGAGCAAACGAAAGGGGAATTGTAAGTGTTATTTTAAGGTTTCCGACTGCTTAAAGTTAAATTGTTTCCAATTTGTATTTTTGAGGTCAGGCAAACAGTCTGCTGGATCGGACAGCAAACCTCGACAACCACGGAGGAAAGCAAAGAGAAAAAAGTAGATGTCCAGTAAGCAACTTCAAACACCGACATGAGTCGAGCTCTGGGTGATGTGCAAAATTGTTGGACTCCAAATGTTGGATCTGTAAGAACTGATTTATTATTTGAAGAAAGCTCCTAAATTAGATTAGGACAACACTCAAGGCCAAAGCTCGTCATAATTTTACTTTTTAAAATCAAATATTACCTTCAGTAAAATCCTGTCTGTTCACTCCCAGTGAACGCCACTTGTGACTGCTTGAGAGAGTGCGAACAGCCAACCAGAATGCAACAGAGGTTAAGAGCTTGTGACCTTCTTCAAATTGCATCATGTTGCAACCACAGCAGATTTGTTGAAGTGGGAGGAAAATGATGCAAACATTTTTTTTCGCAGGAATTTGTATCCAGCCGTCTTCACACTGGGGCCCGGAAAAGTATTTCGTAAATGTAACGTATTTGTGTGAAATTTAAAGTATAAGGTGGTTAAATAATGGTGGTTCAACAAAATACTAAGAGAGAACTGGATATGTATGTAGGCCACGTTTTACAGACTTTTTGATTGCAGTATAACTTCAGAAACATGTCGCAGCTTTTATGCTCAAAAACAAAAATGTTCCAACAGTGACAGGTGGTTTGTTTCTACATGGATTCCAACTTGATCTTTTGGAAATTATATATGACAATTTATTTTAAAAATATAGACCAACATTCACCAACTATTTCTTAGAATTCAGGCAAAGTAAAAAGTTCACTTAATCGGTTACCAAAAAGTTGAAAACGTGGTAAAAAGGCATTTTAAAATCTTCCGTCATCCAAAGCATGGTGTGATCTTAACTTCTGTGATTGGGAATCGTCTAGAAGTTGCCAAATTGTTCACAATATTTTCAAACAATGAATTGTATACCAAAGTAGCTTAGTTATATTCTTGAGTGTCTAAAGAACAATCAATTCTTATGATTTACAAGAATTGGGGAAAAAAAAGGCCACAACATCTCAGTACTTTGATGACAAAAAGTGAAAAAGCTCACGGGTGTGAAAACTTTCGCAAGGCGTTTTAATGGCCCTGAAAGTTTCAGTTTCCAAATTAGATTCCACAAGCGTCCAAAGTTAATCTAAAAACAACTGAATTTAATCATTTTCTTAGCGTAACTTACAGTATTAATCTGCTTAAAGGAGTCTTTGGCCACCAATTGTTGGGTGAAGGTTTGATGTGTAAGCGAATCTCCAAAGCTTAAAAGATTTGCATCAGCTGACCTTTCCTGAGGATAAATGTGAACAAGTCAGAGACCTGACAAGCTAATTAAGGTCTAGTAGAAACCATGAGAGCTCTCTTAATGTGTGGAAAGGTTTGCATGGCGTCCCTTTTCCTTACTCTGAAATGCTATAAAATAACATTTACTTTTGCTAAAGATCAAATAAAGGGAGAGGGGGGGGGGTATTTCAAAATTTAACTAGCTCTAGACCCATAAATATTTATCCCAGATCTCTGTGTGCAACAAAAATTTTGAAACATGAATCAAATGACAGTTATTGTATTTTCCTGTGTCATCTCAAAAGTGCAACATGCTGCATTGTTTGGAGTGTGAAAAGAAAGTGTGTGCCTGAACTTCTTTTGTGCACACAAATATACATCCTTCAGATTATGAGCATTGCGCGTCTGTGTGTGTGTGCGTGTGTGTCTGTGCAGCTGTTTATACAATTACACTTGCGCATTTGGCGTGAGAGTCGAGCAGTTCTTTGTGTGTTGAATGCACATCACAATGAATGAAGAGAGAAAGTGCAGGCTCTTCACGCACACACACACACACACACACACACACACACACCCACGCGCACACACACACACACACACATTCTGTAGGGAAGACGCAGTGGTGCATCCCGGCCCATATTTCACCAGCAGGGGATAATTGTGCCATTTCTCAACGAGTGCCAGAGACTCTATTTACTGCATGCTGCGGTAGGATGGGTGGTGGATATGAACTGATGAGCTCCGAGAGGAAAACTACCAGCTCACGCATGTACACGCGCCGATACAGGGATAAACTCGCACGCATACACAATGAGTACTCACCAATCAGCGCATTGTCTCCCCTCGGCAGATAAAATAGGCCATTTTAGCTATAGGGATCCATAATCTACTTCAACAGAAAAAGGCCCAAGGTGCAGTATTTGATCATACTGAGATACTCTCAAGCATAAGTACACAGAATGAACACAGAGCAAGGAGTGTTCATTTGATTAGAGAACAATCAGGGCTTGAGTAGTGACTGCTGGGAGTCAGACTCTTTCTGAGACGCAACTGAGAAACTGTTACAAGTAAAGACTATGGTTAACATGTCGCACACATCATCGACAAATTAAATACTACAAACCTGCCTAAGAAGATTTTAAACAAACAATAAAAGAATGTGTTTTTTTTTTTAATGGATAAAACACCTTTGATGGCATTGCTATTGGCTTGTTTATCTCTGAATCAGGCTCGATGCACTAGAAGACTGACTGCTAGAATCCTTCCACGCTTTGAAATCTACATGTTGATGCCGTCATGCATATTTGATTTAAAACCGGACAATAATAAACGTCCTAGCAAGTACCACAACCCGACAACAGCTGGTCACCATGGAGGCCGACTTGGCTGGGGGAGTGACCTTCTGACCAAGGGGTTACAGATGTCTTGTCTAGAGATGCAACTGTTTCAGCTCCTAAAATCTGAAAAAAAGATAATATTTCATTGATATTCTTCCAATTTCATAAACAATTTTGTTTTCTTTTTAGCAACTTTAGCTGATGACTAGGTTCAGGCTACAAAGAAACGGGTCCCATTCAGACACAACCAAGCTCTGCAACAGATTCCCATTGTAGCTGATTTCTGTACAGTTATTGTTTATTAGCTCCTAATACTGTGCTAGACTTTTTTTTTTTTTCCTGGACATGTAGCTCAGTTTTAAATGTGCTCTATGACTGAAGAAATAAAATGAAATATTCATATTTTCTATAAGAGTAAATTATTTTCACTTGTGAAAATGACAAGATAAGCCAGATTAGCAAATGATGAGAAACATGATGGGAAACAGTTTCACATAGTAATGTGAAGCCAAAGTGATTGGGTTTCACATCACAGGTAATAGACAACTTTTAAAAACTTATTTTAAACCTGCATTAGGTCAGAAAGGAAACCCTAGTTTACAGACAAAATATGTGCATTAATCATTAATCAAGAGCTTTCAATAAAGTGTAGCACAGGTAAGAATTGGCTCTCATCTGGATTCAAATCACAGGAAATCACCAAATTAATTTGATATATATGGAGCCAAGAAATACCATCAATGTCTTCGTAGGCAAAGCAAAACTAAATGTTATGAAATGCCGACACACAAACTGCAGTGCAAAGAGCGAAAAACAGTCTGTGTCCAAAATATAACAATCCAATCAGCAATTCATTGATAGTCTGGTGTACTGATGCAAACTATTTTTTTTTTTTTTTTGCTTCACACGCAGGTATATTCTCACTGTACACTTTAGAGAAATGTGTGCTTTCAGTCTGGGAAGTAGTTAAAAAGCGCTGTGCTTTTGGCATAAATCGGGGGAAAAGTTCTCATTAAAACTTTGTTTGGACCCTGCAGAAGCAGGAGACAGTAGCTTGTTGATGCCAACTCATCACTGCTAGCCTCATTAAATGTTAAAGATGGCTCATCAATGCACACTATCTTCTGTCCCCATCAAAAAAAAAAAAAAAAAAAAAAACACCACAAAGATGCTGCAGGGAGATGAAAAGGCCTAGCAGCAAGGAGCTTGCTCCAGCCAGCTGAAGGAGACATGCTGGATATGGACGGACGAGGTGATCATATATGAGATGCGTGTGTAGATGTGAACGACCCTGCTGGAGGCTCCTTCGCCTCTCTGCCAGCCAGGCCTGGGGTGGCTTTGATGTGACAGAGGGAGTCCCTGTGAAGCGCAGGTTTAACACTGATGCTGTGGCCAGGATTCAGAGCCTGTCTCCACTAATCCTATTTCAATCACTCTTGCAGCCTCTTATCTCTGACTCTGCTGGCCCACTGCCCTTTCTCTCCCTACAAATCTCCTCTTTTTTTCTTTCCGTTTTTCTCTCTACCCACTTCTACATCCCTCTCTCTCTCTTTTTGTAATTTCTTTGCTTTTGTCCTCCCTCTTCCTCTGTGTAGGAATCCCATAGGAATAGTTCTGATGCAATTTCATATCAACCCGACATAGTGCCAGAGGTGAAATTTATAAAAAAAAATAAACAGAGGCTTTATGAGCTATTTTAAGCTGATGAAAACCTACAAATTGTGTTGGATGTAAAACATGTCATTCATACGACAGCTGTCTGGGCACTGAGATGTGATGAAAATCGAGCTCAGCTTCACTTCTAAAAAGGAGAGCAGCTGCAAGTGCGTGAGCGACAATCCCGGAACTGCATTTCCTTCTTTTCTCACTCTCTCGGTGGATA